ATGCTTAGAAAACATGGAGGGGTCTGAAATTATAATCATAGTTGCATGTCCACCGTGAGAGACATAATCTAAAAAAAAATAAATCCAGAAATCACAATGTATGATCTGTTTTTAACCTATTTATTCGTATGATCCAGCTGCAATTAAGTTTTTGAACATCTGTCTATCAGCTAGAATTCTGACCCTCAAAGACCTGTTAGTCTGCCTTCAAAATCACCACCTCCACTCCATTTATTTTCCTAAATTAGATGCACCTGTCTGAGGTCGTGAGCTGCATGAATACACCTGTCCACCCCATACAATCAGTAAGAATCCAACAACTATCATAGCCAAGACCAAAGAGCCATCCAAAGACACTAGAGACTAAATGATTTACCTCCAGAAGGCTGGAAATGGCTGCGGGGAAATCACCAAGCAGCTTGATGATAAAAGGTCCACTGATAGAGCAATCATTAGAAAATGGAAGAAGCTAAACATGACGGTCAATCTGCCTCAGACTGGGACTCCATGCAAGATCTCACCTGGTGGGGTCTCACTAATCCTAAGAAAGGTGAGAGATCAGCCCAGAACTACACAGGAAGAGCTGGTCAGTGACCGGAAAAGAGCTGAGACCACTGTTTCCATGGTTACTGTTGGTAATACACTAAGACGTCATGGTTCCCTGCTTAAACCAGCACATGTCAAGGTCCGCCTTCAGTTTGCCAATGACCATTTGGATAAACAGAGGAATCATGGGAGTTGGTCATGTGTCTGCTGTATGACATAGGGACCCCTATTTCATCATTCTGCTTCATTCTATCTCTATTCTCCCACTCAGCAGAATCTGTTAGTTCAATCTCTAACGTTCTGCTCTCTTTGCTTTTTCTCATAGTAGCTTCATCTGGTCTGTTCCTGTTTGGCTGTGACTCCATCCTGCAGAGAAATATCAGCTGTGCTGCTGCCATCAACACCTTTGTTTATAGATGTTGGAGATTGGCCTGTTTTTCAGTGTGGTCCTGTTTCTCTGACTGGGACTGGCTGGATGTGCTCTCTTCATCCTCTGACATGAGAGCTGGCTCAGAGCTTGTCTGCCTGGCTACATGTTTCCTGGACGGTGCCATTTTTGCCTTTTGTGTCTCTCCTTCTGTCTCCTCGAACCCCAGTCGGCCTCAGCAGATGGCCGCTCACACTGAACCTGGTTCTGCTGGAGGTTTCTTCCTGTTTAAAGGGAGTTTTTCCTCTCCACTATCACTATAACCATGCTTAGTGTGAGGGATTGCTGAAATTCAATGAGTCGATGCAATCAGCTGGTTTTCCTTAGATAGAAAACTATGAATCAATGTGACCGGATGATCTGGTTGAACTGTAAAGTGCCTTGAGATGACATGTGTTGTGAATTGGCGCTATAGAAATAAACTGAATGGAATTAAATGTAACCACAGGTGTAACTTTCTGAAGGATTGGTGTGGACATGTCCCCACCAATAATTTCCACGCAAGTTTCTGTCGGTATTCAGAGCTCAAGTCTTTTTTTTTCTCTCCCTCCTGCTGTTCCCGAGTCCCGCCTATTTTTCTAACACCATCGAAACTTCCCTTTGAGACACAATAATATTTTCAGTTGTTACTTACTGCATACATAGTAGCTACGTGGTTGGAAGAGAGACAACACACAGCAGCATTTTAACCTGCAGCTACTTGTACTTCCATATGTCTAAGCCACCGAAAAATCAGTTCGTTCTTCAGTAAAAAAAAAATAAAAAGAGTGTATGTTTGTACAAGTCAGTATTGTAATGTAATAGGTTTGACAAAACATAGAGTTTAGATGTTGTGAGTTAAAAGTTTTAAAAAAGCTGGGCTTATCAGAGGACCATGACTCACAATTACAGGTTAACACCTTTCTGTGGTTTTGTTATTGAACAGACAGAATCAGAATACAGAGCTTCTAGAAATCTACAAAATTCTTTATTACTTCTATATTAGTTGACATCAAAACTGGATCGCGACCAGACCCAAGCAACATTTGATGTGTGCGGTTGCTGAAGTCTAATCTTTCCTTAAGTGTTGGGGCAGGTATGATTTAAGGAGGGCCGGCCCTCACAGGCTGAAATTAGGACCGGCCCACTGGGCAAATGCCCTGTTTCACAGATTTTCAGTCCGAGGCTGTGCGTCACAACATTGCACCAGTCATGTGTGATCTAACAACTCTGCTGGGATTCAGTAAACATGGAGCAGCTCTGTTTAGGGGGGAGTCAGATGGATTAAACACACTGATTACACTCTGGCTCCATGTTCCTCTGCATTGTTTACTTTCCTGATTTCTGTCACACTGGTGACATCATTAATGCTAACCCAGCATGATGGCATGACCAAACATTATGATTAACTTCATCACACTGTTGAAGAACAATGTAGTGTCTTTAGTCAGAGGCTTCTATAGACTTTGCTGTGACACAGACCACTACAGGACCAGGTACATCCAGCTATAATATCTACAGAAACCTGTCAGAGAACAACATTTCCTCTACAATAAAACTAAAGAGTTTTTGCATTGAATTGAATCAAAATAAAATAAAAAATACTTTGATTTTCAAACCAAAAGCACTGCAGACCCACCAGCAATGGCAGATGAATCGTTTTCAAGATGTTAAAGAATTTTACAGCAGAATAACTTTTGCTCAGCTGATCTTTTTTATGCAAAATTCTTCAGGGAGAGTTGAAAATGAATAAGGCTACCATCCACCCATCCATCCATCCATCATGTCAAAGGGCTGGTCACTCTTCTAGCTGGTCCATCTTCACGAGTCGTTGTCGATAATGGTGGTCATACAAACAAAACAAGCCGGTAAGGTACCAAACAGGAAATAGGCATAGTGTAGAGCGGATGTAGATTGACCAATCAGAGGCCTCCTGTCTGCGGCCAGCTATAATTTTGGAGAGGTGCGCCATAGTGATATTGCACATCTGCTTTCACTGTGACACACACGCAGACGACCTGGTTTCTGAGTATAAACCAGCTTTTACAGTATTATCTTAATATTTGTACTTTTTTAGTTTTTCATACATTTCTGAATGGATGGATACAACTGAAATTGCATCGATACTATTGATGCATCATATATCGATGGTAGCATCAGTATCGCCTGTTATACGTCATTCTTTTCATATATTAATGTTTTTGATAGTGTTGCACTGATACCAGTATCGGACGGGGCCCCGATACTGCCCTAAAAT